TTCAGTGGCTTTTTAGCCTCTCCTTGGCCAAATGAAGCATTAAGTCGTGCAAACAAACATGCGACAACAACAACAACCAACTAACTACAAACAGCAGCAAAGTCTTATGCCGACTACAGATAATAATGCATACGAACTACTAAATATGGGCTTCGTAGCATTTACATAATGCCCAGGTCGAGCACGCCTTGCCGATAGGACCTACTGGCCCCGTAAGATCGCTTGATATTAGATTTTCGAATAAAATTATATTGGAATTACAGAGCATTAACAAACTGTAACAGCTAGGTCTTTTAATTAATATTAATTTTAAAACATAATATAAATTTAAATCAATAAGATTATATAATATTAATAATTCAACATATATTCATATCAAATACTATATAAATAATCAAGTATTCATTATATACAAACTAATATGTACAAGTTTTATTAATGTCAAATAAGAAATACCACAATATTTTATACATATACAATTCCAAAAAAGTAATATAAAATCTGTTAAGAATAACTCTGAAGAACACTCTTGTATTCAGACGTAAAACAAAGAAATACTTTTACTTATCTGCAAGAACTTACTTCTTTATTTAACAAAAACAATTCATAAGAATCAAACCTAAACCTGAAACAAAAGTCACTATGCAAACCATATTTATATAACTCTTATTGATTACTCTCTGCTAGAAATTCAATTAAAATAATCTTTCCATAGAACTCATCTAAGTATTTCCTCTACAGATACTATCTCAATATAAACACACTTAAAAGCTATAATTAATATACAAAAGAACACTAGCCTAAATTATTTATTAATAAAAACGTTCGTCTATACCTTTACTGTGTTTAATGATTAATTGATGACCGTAATTTATAAATCTTAATACTTAATACTTAAGTCAAGAACTAGTTGAGAACGAAACTCAATAATCAGCTTAGAAAGCAATTTCATTAATACTGTAATAAATTTTTATTAAATAGCTAATCAATCCTTGATAAAATCCAATCAATATGAAAATACTTTTTCGTACTCCTAGACTATATATACATATAATTTAATATACATACTATAATACATAAATAATAAAATACTTCAGATAGCTAAGAATTTATATACTTCACAATATTTCAGATAGTTATTAATAATAACTATTTGCGAAAATCAAAATTAAATAATTTCCATAAGACCCATATATACTTCCATACTTTAGTAGATTTTTATTGTACATCTTATCTCTTTTAGCTTTTCCATGTATAAACCATGTATCGTTTTTTCTAATGCCACATTCCTGTGAAATATCTTTCCATAATATTTATTATATCAAACAATCGACACATTGCTTTGCCTCTACTCAAAATGTTTGTTGAAATATAACACCGAGTCTTACAATGGTCAACAATGCAACATCTTTAGGAATTATTTCGCATAATGATGATATAGTGCCTCATAGGCTGGCTGGCTGTATGGATGCCTGGATGGCCAGTTGGCTGTGGTACACAACTGTGGAATGCGGTTAGCAGCCGCAAATACAATGCAAAAGGGCCCCAAAAGAGCAAGATGCATTGCTACAAACAGGAAGAAAGAGAGAGAGAGAGAGAGAGTGTGTAAGGTAGGGCTATAAAGAGGAGAAGAGACAGACAGGGGCTTGTGGCAGTGAATGAGAGGGCCATTTAGTTTTGGTCGCTGAAAAATGATTAATAGTCGTGTGCTTGGCCCTGGTAACCACGACGACGACGACCAAGACGCCGGGGAGAAGGACGGACGCAGTTGCAGCCTAAGTGGAGCACCGGCGCTGTAAATTTCCTTTGGCCAAAGGTAGCTGCAGCGGCGACGACAGAGCAGCAATGTCCAGAGGCGACGGCAGTGGCAAGGGCAAGGGCAAGGGAAGATGTTGCACTCAGCCCATGTTTGATTTTGTATCTCCGACTGTGAGAATGTTGAACGTATGTGAGTAAAGATATTTCGTTGGCTGCCGTTGTCTACAACGTCTCGCTCTCCCACTCTCTCTCTATCTCTCTCTCTTTCTGTCTTTGAAATTACTTTTAACGATTTAATGTTTTGTGAACTGCTTAAATTGTGCAAACAATTTGAACTAAGTACCACGAAGCGCTGCGGCAGGTGAGAAGGCAGCGGCAGCAGCGGCAGCAGCAGCCAGATTGCAGGCGGTTGCTCAAAAGCTTTTGTTGTTGTTGTTCTTTTTGCTTTTTGTTTTTGATGTTGTCTTTTGGGGCAACGTTCCAATGGCCATTGCACGGCGCACAGGAAGTGCAACTTTAATGAAGCGTTTAAGTGGCAGTTGTTGTACTTTCGGCTCTTGCTGTTGTTGGCATGCGAGAGCGAGAGAAAGAGACAGAGACAGAGAGATTGAGGTGTTGTGCAGCTGTTGAATGTTCAATGTTCACTGTTCAATGGTCACTGATGCTGGCAGACCAAAGGGAATGTGCGACATGTGACCCGGGAATGGGACTGGGAATGAGAATGGAATTGTGAAGTGTTGCCTTAAATTAGGCAGATACTCCGACTAAGTTTCAGCTTATCGCTTCCCTGGCTTTTGCTGCTTCCTCAGTTATTCGAGCGATGCAGCGCGCTCTATTGCCAAAGGTGTAATTTAATAACTTGGCAACAATCTCAATAGCAGACACCTTTTCGTCTGCTCTTTGTATTGGTCTGGCCAATGGCCACATGATTCATGCCTGCCTGCAATGGCTGGCCTCCGCCGACGCAGAGCAGCAGAGCAGCAGAGAGACCAACACACACACAGAGAAGGAAATAAAATTCCACGCAAATTAACTTGAAAACGAACAGAGCGATAAAAAAATATCCAAACTCTAAATAAGTCTACAAACAGTCGATGGGAAACGGCTAAGGAATGGAAGGGAAGGGAACGGAAGGCACGGACGACGGGCGACGGGCGACGGACAGAGCGAGACCGTCGTCGCTTGGATGCTTCCACTATCCAGTCAGCGGCGAGTTTGGCGCATGCGTCGACTGCTCAGTGCGCACTACTCCCCCCCCCCTCCCCCTCTCCCTCTCACACTCCCTCCCTCTCTCTCTCCCTCACTATCTCTCTCTCAGTCCTCAGTGAAGAAAAAAGGGTACCAGTTTCAAGACCAGTCCGCACCAGCGGCAGCCGCTACGAAAAGTCTCCCAAGAAATTCCTTTGGCGCAACAACAAAAAGAGGCAAACAGAGAAATAACAACAACAACAAAATCAAAGAAATCTGTTTCGGAGCAGAGCGACTGAAAAATGTTGTCACGCCGCTTTTACATACTGACCAACAACAGTTGTTCTCGTTCCGTTCACTCTTGTTGTTGTTGTTGTTGTTGTTGCTGTTGTCGGTTGGGCCTAGGCCAAGCTATGGACGCGAGCTTCTTCTGTAGATTTTAGTTAATTTGTATAAAGCCTGAATTAATCACGCTTAATTGCAATAACTTGACCAGCCCAACGCGCGTTCCATCTCCCTCTCTCTCTCTCTCTCTCTCTCTTGCTCTCTCTTTCTCACTCTTTCTGTCTTTGTTCTCACTGTCTGCGTTTTGGTTTTTACGTTTATTTGATTTGTTTTCAGGTAAACTGTTGCAGCCTCTGCCTTTTGCTTGCCCACCCTTTTGCCCGTTCCATGCTGCTCTTTACCTGTCGCCGTGTTGCGTTGTTTATTTTTGGTTTTCAACGTTGCTTGATTGGTTTTTTTATTTTTTATTTTTACTTTTGTTTGTGTGTTTTGTTTCTTTCCTCATCGCCGTTCTCAATGTTTCGTTATCTTTTGGTCAAATGCAACACGTTGCGTTGCGCTGCGTTTCGTTCATAATTTCAAGGAATTGAACAAAGAGAGCAAGCAAGAGAGAGAGAGAGAGAGAGCGTAAAGGAGATACAGAACGAACAGGTAAAGACAAGCCCTGCGATCGCTGCATTGATATTAATCAAGGTGTCATTGAAATCGTTTAAATTATGCACTCCAATCCAGTTCAGTCCACTCCAGGATTTTTTTCTCAGTCTGTCGGCATTTGTGAACGTTTCTTTGTTTGCCCTTTTTCTCTCTCTCTCTCTCTCTCTCTCTTTCTCTCTCTTTCTCTCGCTGTTCTTGGTTAGATAAGTTAGCCAGAGGCTGGTGTTGCAGCCTCTTTTGTTGCGTGAGTCATAAATTTTATTGATTCTCTTCTTCTGCATTCTGCTGATAAGCGCCAGCGTTTAGATAAAGCTAAGACCTTGCCTCAACTCGACTCGACTCGATTCTCTAACATCGACAACCACAACAAGAACAAGAGCAAAACTCTTACAGCTCGTCTTCCCAGGTAGTCTGTAAGTAGGTTACTTAAGAGGCTGTGGGCATGGCTCATGATAAGGCCAATTGATAAGCAAATTGATGTCGTTCCAGCAATAAGTTTCTAGACCAGTTGGGGCCACTGAGTTTTAGTTAATTGTCGATATTTGCAATTTAAGTTAAGTTTTTCAGGGATTTATACTGTCATGATCAGTTAATATATGCTAATTAAGTAATATTTAAGTAGAAAAAATTCAGCAATCAGTATATACACTTTTTTGATGCTATTTTCACATTGTATTATAATATTTTAAAGAGTAAAATCCATAAAGTAAAAATAATAATATATTTATTTGTATCAATTTTTAGATTGAACTTTTTAAAAACTTTTAAATATAATAATTTCTCAAATATGTTCAAACTAAAATTTATAACAAATTAAACCAATTTAATTTAATTAGTAAGGGTATCACATAGACCGACATTTGACTGAATTCATTTCAATGTTTTTAACTTTAATTTATATTTCGGATTTATTAGTTATCTAATCAAGGAGCTATGAATTTCAGTGGCTATATTTCTCTGATAAAATTTAAGCAGAAGTTTTAATTTAAACGATTTCTTCCTTTTTGTTGCTTGTCTTTCAAATATTTTACCTGATCTGTCGATTGAAAATTATTAGAAACCCTTTTCCTTAAATCGAATTATTTTATTTTATAATATTATATTTAAGCACTTACCATTGCTGGGTTTTTGCGGTATTTCATTGGCATCGATGCCTCGCCCCTGGAAAATGTGCGAAACGGCGCTGCAGTTGGGGCTGAACTGATCGATGATCGAGGAGACACCAGCCGCTCCGGCGGAGGAGCCGCCCGGACCAGGAATGGGTCCAGGCGCCGCCAATGCGGCTATTTGGGCGCCAGCTAAGGAACTGCCCTCTTGGAGCTGGCCCTCTGCTGCTGTTACCAGCAACAGGAGCAGACTATGGAATATCACAAGGTAGGCGGTATTTCTTGCTGTTCTTCGGGAACTGCAGTGCAGATCTTTCATATTTGCCTGTTGTCGTTGACAACGCTTCGCTGGAAACATTTTGTCGCTGTTGGTGTTGCTGTTGCTTTGTTGTTTATGTGTTGCTAAGGCTTTGTCACAATCAATCACACGCACACGTTTATCACACGACGCACAATCGATGGACTTTATGACGAAGCCGGCTTTTGCTGTTGGTGTTGTTGCTGATTTTATTGCACTTTGCTTTGCGTGGTACCGTAAATAAATTTGGCCACAACGTGAGCGAGAGTGAGAGACAGACAGGGGAGGAGGGAGAGAGACTGAGAGCGGCACACGCACTAATTTACAAAGATAAACGGCACACGGACAACGTAATGCATTACGTTGTTTATGCCGGCATTGCAGTTGCCTGCGGTTGTTTTTGTTGCTGTGGCTGTTGCTGCTGTTTCTTACTGTGCATTTTATGATGTGCAGGTGCAGCAGGTAATGTGCTCTTTGGTTTGGTTAACAAAGTGTATGAATGTATCAACAACAATTAATATAACACGCACAAAACTCACACACACACTGTCACTCGCAGACGCGGACGCACAGCACGCACACAACGAGACCGATGCGAAGTGCAACACTAACAGAACACGTTCGTGCGGATCGAGCGCGGAATTTTGACTGAAACCAAAAAGAGAGCCACAACGCTAACATACTGTAAACGTTAACGTTAGCCAACTGTTATCTCCACGAAATGTTACAGTAAACACCACTGTTAACAGGGTCTTCCACTTTTACGATTACAATGCCACAAGTTAAAACATCTGTTGCCCAGTATGACGTCACAAATTAAAATAAATAAAATTTATAAATTTTCAAAACTAAAATTTGAAAGCATAAACTAGATTCAATGTATTTTTATAAGAGCCAATAGTTTATATAATAAAAAGACATCTTATGGTACGTTCAATCGAGTTACCTGCAAAATACTTAATTACATTTAACGGTACTACAAGTATTACTACTTAAATTAAAAGAAATCTACATGGGCTTAATAATAAAGTTGATAGGTCCTTGCTTTAAAAACATTTTAAGTGGCTATTCTTATGTCAGCCCTGTCAGTTGTGGTTGGCGGTTAATTTGAATTGTCAGCTATCGAATTCACATATTTTTGCTATTCATACAATAATTGAATACATTCCATAGATAAATAATAAATAGAAAATATAACTTTTAAAATACTTGACTATACTTGTTTAGAAGTTTTATAACTAAACTTATATTGCTTGTATTGGGCTATCTCGATTTTGCTACAGTAATACGATGTAACTGTTAGAATATCGCATGTCACGCCTTTTGGCATCGCTTCCCCCATCGCTAACACAGCTGTTTTGGCGGCATTCACGTTCGGAAAATACGCAACACTTTCGGGAATGAGTTTATTTATAATGTGGAGCCTTCGTTAAATTTTGCGAACCAAAGTCAAGCGCCGGTATTATTATGACGGATAAAAGCGCAATAAAAGAGGCCCTGGAGAAGTTCTTTGGCCATAAAAGCTTCAAGTCAGAGCTGCAGGAACGAGCCATCACATGCGCTGTGAAAAGTAAGCTGAAGAGAATTCGAACCGTGCCTAATTAAATGTACATGTGGTCTTGCAGAGAAACAGGATGTTTATGTGTCGATGCCCACGGGATCGGGCAAGTCACTGTGCTTCCAGCTGCCCGGCTTGATGTGCGAGAACCAGCTGACAATCGTTTTCTCCCCTCTGCTGGCGTTGATCAAAGATCAGATCGATCACCTGGCCAAACTCAAGGTGCAGGCTGACTCGCTCAACTCCAAGATGAGCACCAAAGAGCGCGAACGCGTCATCATGGATCTGCGTGCCATCAAAACGAATATCAAATTTCTGTATATAACGCCAGAGCAAGCAGCCACGAAGTTCTTTCAGGATCTACTCCACTCACTGCACAAGCACAAGAAACTCGCTTATTTCGCAGTGGACGAGGCGCACTGCGTGTCCCAGTGGGGTCACGACTTTCGACCCGACTACCTGAAGCTGGGCGACCTCCGTGCCAAGTACCCTGACGTCGTTTGGCTGGCTCTAACAGCAACGGCCTCGAAGGAGGTGCGCGAGGATATTTATAAGCAGCTGCGCTTGCGTCAGCCCGTGGCTCAATTCAGTACTCCCAGCTTTCGATCGAATCTCTATTATGATATTGTGTACAAGAACTCCATTGAGGATGACTTTCATCATTTGGCCACATTTGCACAGCATTGTTTGGGCGATGAGTCTGAGTTCAAGGCCACTCCCAAAGGAAAGCGCGGTTGCGGCATCATCTACTGTCGCACTCGAGACCAGGTGGAGCGCGTCGCCGTGGGCGTTTCTAAGCAGGGAGTCGGTACCGTGGCCTATCATGCCGGACTGAAGACAGCGGAGCGCACAGAGGTACAGGAGGCTTGGATGCGTGGGGATCAGCCCATTATCTGCGCAACCAACAGCTTTGGCATGGGCGTCGACAAGCCGAGCGTGCGCTTCGTCATCCACTGGGATGTGCCGCAAAATGTGGCCGCCTACTATCAGGAATCGGGTCGCGCAGGACGCGACGGTCTTCAGTCCTATTGCCGTCTTTACTATGGTCGCGAGGACGTGCGCTCCATACGCTTCCTCCTGCAGAACGATGCGCAGCGAGCTCGCGGTCGTGGGGATCGTGAGATGCTCACGGAGCGCGCTCTGCGGCAATTCGAGCGAATTGTGGACTTCTGCGAGCAGACGCGCTGCCGGCACAAACTCTTTGCCGACTATTTTGGAGATCCCGCGCCCGATTGCAGTGCTCAGTGTGATGTGTGCAAGCGACCCAAGCAAGCAGCGAAGGCGCTCGAGACGTTTCAAAAACTCTGCATGGATGCCACCTTCAAGTCGGACATTTCACTGCAGGATTGCGCCGATCTGTACGAGGGTAAGTCTCAAACCAGACTGGATTGACTTTAAAGGCTTTTTAAAACCCGTTGCCTGTTAGGTGGGCGCGCGGGCACCAAAAGAGCAGCCCAAGATTATGCCAGCAATGATTCGGACCAGGAGTCGGATCAGAGTCACGCAGCTCAGGCGAAGCGGGCCAAAAAGGAAACCGAAAATTTTATTCGCGAGCAGTTCAAGCTGCGCAAACAATTGGGTGCAGCCCGCCAGCTGGAGCAAGAGACAAGCACGCAGATATCACGCGTGAAGCAAGCACAATCGACGGAGACCAAAATCAGTGGACTGCAGCATACAAGCCGAGAGAAATACCTGGACGCACTCATCGCAGCGCTGAAGGCGAATGTCAAGCAGTGTGAAAAGGAATTGGATCAGCAGCCAAGAAGCGCGCTGCGCCACAATGACTACGAGGCCATGGCAGTGGACCTAGAATACGAGGTATTTCAGCAGCAGCGCGTGGTCAACATGTATCGACATGCCCTAGCCAAACAGGTGAGTAGTCCAGCCAAGGAAAGCGAAGACTCGCTCTATAACCACTTTCACTTCTTAGCTGGCGAGCATTAAACAACTAACAGCCAAGACGACGCTGATGCCGCTCATTCGGGACTATGTGCCCCGACCGGAGACAAGCGCCAAGGGCGTCTGGACAGGTGGAAGTGTGGCCTATTTTGAACGCAAGCTTAAGGAGCTGGAGGAGCAAAAGCCACAGTCTATGAAGGAGCCACCAAAGGCTTTGCGCGAGCGCAAGGGCTTCAAAGAGGATCAAAGCAAGCAAACATCAATTGCCAGTTTCTTTACCAAAGTCAAGCAGGAGGTGAAGGAGGAGGAAATAACAGAGAGTCCAGAAGAACATCCTGTCAGTGTTAAAACAGAGCCGGAAGAGGAAGCTGAAGAAGATGGAGCAGTGAAGAATGTAGAGGAGAACGATAATGAAACAGAAATCATGAAGGGAGCGGAGGAAAATGATATTAAATCAGAGATAGAATCGCCACTTCATGAGGCTGAAGTAAAGCAGGAACACGATCAGGCTGAGGCTGAGAGTCCTACGAATGAGGAACAGTTGAAACTTGAGTTCGGAGACAGAAAATACAGACTAATGGCAAATGGCGATGGTAGCTACGATACGCATCGCAAAGCGCGTGTTTCGCGTCTGGAGGCAGAAACACAGAAGAAGCAAGAAAAGCCCAAAGACAAATTCAAGCTGATTTTTGGCAAGTCGGAAAGTGAAGACGAAAGGAACGAAATCGAAAAGGAGAGGGAAACCGAAGCGAGCACAGAATCAGTAAAATTCATAACTGCTCGCCAAATGCTAGCAGATAAAAAGTCGGAGCAGCGGCTAGAAAAGAAGCAACCAGAACTGAAAGATGAATTCATAACACTCAACGGCGGCTTTCAGACTGCGAGACAAATGCTAGACCAAAAACACAACGAAGCGCACGTTAAGGAAGAGCCCCATTTAGAGGAGCCGAGCGAGTTGAGAAAGAAGCAACCAATCAGCAAGGAAGAGCCAAGTATAGAGAAGTCAAGGGGAAATAAGTCGCCAGTGCTACAGGAGAAGCCAAGGGATGAGGCACAAAAGGAAAAGTCCAACTCTCAGCTGAAAAAGAAACCTCAAGTCAATCAGCAGAAGAACGATGTCAGCAAGTCTGTGGTGCAGTGGCTCAACCCCTACTACAAGCGCAAAATAGCCACCCGGGAGCTGTTCAAGGCTCTGGCAAAGCTAATCACGCAACGCATATGCGACGGCAGCCTGGGTAAGCAATACAACCAAAGAAATTGTGGCTCAATTTCTAATTTGCTCTCTTTGCTTTCAGGCAACGGCGATGTGTGCAAGTGCTACATCAAGGAAACGTTTCACAGCCTCAAAATGATCGAGAATGACCAGGACATTGAGAAATACTTTACCATTTCTATAAAATGAGTAAAAATTGAATCCTCACTTTGCCTTTTGCCAATGTCTGACATCTGCTCGAAATGTTATTAATATGTTAACAGTTGTCAGAACTGTGTTTTGTTGTTTGTCGTTGAACCTACTGTAAATATTGATAATCACTTTCAAACCTAAAGGGAACTGCTTACAAAATTATCGTTGCAAAAGATATGGATATCGCTTGGAAGCCAAGTTTGGACTATTATGATCGGTTATAAGATCCTACACTACATACAGCAGATTCAATTAAAATGTCCTTGTTAAAATACTTGAAACAGAATTGAATTCCATTTTTTTTTCAATAATTGTTCAATTAGACCTTAAAAATAATTTGCGTTATATAAATAGTAACCAGCGACCCACAAAAACGTTTTATTTAAATGCAAACCATTTAAGCCACATGAAAAATATATATTTATATAATCAACATTCTTGTGGAAACTTAATATTTAATGAATGGAAAATTCATTTTGTTATAATAATTATTTTCAAAATTTATTTTTCCTTTGTTACAAAAATATTCGGTGTAAAACTTATGTTAGATAGATTAGAAAAAACGTTTTGTGATTCGTATTCTAGGGGCTGTAAGCGATACTTTAACATTTCTCAAAAAATTTCCTACACTTGGGTTGTTTGTACATTTTCTTTCAATTGATGGCAATTATGATGTATATGGTACAGACATTCTGAACAATTAGCAGGGAGTGGGGACACCGCTTAAGATTAAGCTCCGTAAATATTACAGTCCAGCTGGGCCAGCGTCTGGAAGAGTCAGCGAATGCGATGTCACTCCAGATCTCCGTGCACGCCAAAGCGAATGGTGAGTAGCACATCCAGCAAATAGATCAAGCTGGTGACCAGCGAAATGGAAGCGGACGCCATTACCAGGTCCAGCCGATGCATGTTGGGGTGCCAGTAGTTGCGGTCCTTGGTGTTGCTCCAGTCACGGAACAGCAGCGCCGTCACAGCTATATACAGGATAAAGCCCGCCAGGGACCACAGCGTCGCAGTGCGCCAAGGCGTGCTAAGAAGTATGATTAAAGTATATATATATTTTATCATATGCATATTGAGATGTTACTTACAGATCTCCAAATAGAGCCATTATCAAATAGATTGCCGTGTAAATGGTCAACGCGCCAAAGGTCACATAACATAGTGCCATTACCCTGGGTGTGATGAAGACGCGCAAGTGCGAGTTGGTGGCCGGCTCGTCAATTAGTCCCAGACAGCATATCAGCAGACACTGGCGAAAGAATTAAAATTGCAAAGATAAAGTTAATAGAATTTATCAGTGAAATATTGTTTTGAAGAGGAAACATTATCTACAAAGATGATCTATTTCAGAGAGTAAGCTTAGGAAACGGGATGAGCTATTAAAGACATTGATAAGGTCGTACCGTCTTATTCACTATTCTCGACTTGTATACTACAATATGATATATTTCTACACTTACTTTTATGTACTGTATACTAATCTTGGCTTGAAACCACTCGCAAGTTATAGTCAAGCAAGGTATCCGTTTTTTTTTTTTATAACTGGCAATAACATTATTTTTCTCCTTCTCTTGGGATACTTTCCATTGAATACTATTCTCTTTTACACCTACACTCATATCTTTAGTTATATTTACGCAACCTCAATAAACCTCGTATGCCTATTAAATCAATGGGATCAGATAAGAAATGAAAGTCCGATCCCTATAATGGTCCAAGTCAATATGAAAGACGACGGAACTACACTAAAAAATTAAATTTGGAACCTTATTATTCTGTTGCACTTTAAGATTCTGAATATGGTGCGCATAAGGCAGAGTAGAAGTACAAATAATGATGGAATAAAAATAGCATTCGTTTTTAAATCTCTCTTAATAAAAAATGTAAAAATAAGGCAACTGTTGCCTTAGATTTAGACTAAAAATAAATATAATTAGTATATATAGATAGAGATACATATGTATATAGGTTGATTATGTGTATACATATTTGTATATATGAGTGAAATATCTCTAAAATGTATTGCTTACCAGCTCAACAACTTTGATGGTGATGAGAGTGTAGGTTGCCTTCTTGTTGCCACTTGTTGTGGCAAAGGAATTGTCATCTGCCGGCGACATTTCGACCCGAGAGATTTCTGTGGGATGCAATTAGTCAATTGATTAATTAAAGTGAATGATCTCTAATTGGAATTGGCTTGGAGCAGTCGAGCCAAGTGCTCCGCTTGCAGAGTATGAAAAGTACCTATGGAACGCAAGTAACTCATCTTCTTCCTCTTCTTTTTTCACTGTCGTATTTATTTATTGATCTATTTTACGAACTGCCTACGATGAAGCACTTAAAGTTCTTCTTCGGTATCTATGGATGTTAAGACGGAATTGCCTTATTGGGCTCAGAGTTATTTGTTATTCTTTTTACTATTAGCTCGAGTGCGCAGTGGAGCGTGTTAAATGCCTCCACAAAATATGTGCTGGGAATTTGTGTCAATCGCTGTGGGGAAGGTCTCTCTCACATTACTTCCAAAATGGGCTCTAATTAATTGCCTGTTCACGAAATCTCTAAGGGCCTTCTCTGGGAGACGTCAAATGATGTCATCTCTCTGGATGTCTGGGTGGGTGCAGCTCCCACGATTTCAGCGAATCAGCCATGAGCTACCAGGTGAGTCAACAGTTGCAGCTCTGTGCATTGTCTATTGAATAATGTGGATTACGCAAATTATACAGTAAGTCACAATCTAATTACTAGAAGGAATTCCAATACTACGACGAACTGCCCTAAAAACTGTCATTGGCTTCACATTTTACATTTGCAGCAAAATATCGGAAATGAGGAATACGTTTTTGTAAATACTCTTCCGGTAAACTTTTTAGACGTTTACTACTTTGAAAACTCGTTCGTTTATTGTATAACAATTATAATATAATTTGAAGATAATTAATTTTGCAGTTCGATCAATTATGGTCAATAAATTGAGTTCGCTTAGGGCGTTGCAATAGATCCACGTCAATCGAGATTTTATCGTGGGTAGCAATGCATTTACCATAAAGGCATCATCAACTTTTGAGAATTAATTTATTTTAAGAATTTCTAGTAAAATTATAAAAATGCATCAATGAAAATGGAAGAGCTAGAAAGATATTCCTCAATTTGTTTTCAACTGTGGGCGATTAGCAAAGTGAATTGGGTTATCCAAATCGGATACTCGACATGTTTTCTATCAATAAGTATGAATTATTCACATTCTGTTTAGTAAAAATAATAATTTAATTAAGTATGGCTTGAAATGGACAGAATAAACATTAGTAGATTTTCATACAATTTTCTATTTCTGGTATGTATAAAATATAGAGCGCTCTGTTTACCCAATAAGTAGTTTTTAATATACTTATAGCATTCAATAAACAAATCTGAGATATAATATTATATAAAATGAAGGAAGATGGCTGATGATCTTTCGCATTTCCGTACGAAATTGCTATTTTAAGAGAATAGAAATGAAGCAAGGCCCACGGAAACTTATAATGCAACTAGTGTACAAATGTCTTCATTTCTAAATCAAATGATTTGGGCAATGTAATATTCATCAGTCAGCCAGTCAGTTAGTCAGTCGAGCAATCAGCCAGGCCAACACTTAAATACATATAATTCCGAGTAGCTGCCCAACAGTTCTTGTTTGTTGATGTGTCAACAATTACTGTTCAGCCAACAATGCGACACTCGGTGGGGCCAACACTTTTGCTTGTGTTGTGGTTGGTGCTCATCGGGAATATTTTACAGCATGGTTGAGTTGCTCGGGGCATTCATTCATGCCTCATTGATTAAGACTAATTGCATTGGCAAAAGTCACGTACAATAAAAATACCATAAGCGAAGCCCAGACGGCAGAATTACAGACTAAATTGACCTGCTTCGCCCACTCCCAACTATCCACAAAGTTATTGAAATTCAGAACGGAAAACCAGAAGCCGAAAAACCCAATTCAAATAATTTTGGGAAAAACTTTCGCTCGTAGATGTGTGTTGGAGAGCGAAAGAGAAAGGGAGAGAGAGAGAGAGAGGGAAAGAGTGGGCGTTAAGTGTGTTATTGTTTGTTAGTTAACACTAATTTGAACTACTAACAAATGGTCTAGTGTCTAGGTTCGATATTTCTGAGGAGGAGGAGGAAATTAACGTTGCGTGCTGTCAAAGAGTCATTAATAAGTAATTTTGATCAAATAACCGCAATGCTGGAACACATGATACCCTATAAAGCGGGAAGTCGACTGATACAATTAACATATACTTATACATGTACAAAATCTGTTATTGAAAGGAACGAGCTGAGCTTATATAATTTTAATGTCTTAAGGCCTTTGTCTTTGTATAGTGTTCTATAAATATTCTACAGTTATTTACAAATTCTATTGAAAACTCATTTCGAATTCCAGACGAAAAATATTCTTTTATAAAAATTTTACATTAAGACTATATTTAATTTTTTTTGAATTTCTTTATGAATAAATAATTTATGAATTTATGATTTATATTCTTATCATTTTATTTTAATAATACTCTTTTATTTATTCAATTTCCCAAATAAATTATTCTATTAATTATCTTTTATTTCACCCTCCCACTAAGTACTAATTCTGCTGCCTAACATTATTATGTCATTTCAGCATGATTCATACGATAAAAATTTGGCTTAGTAATTTTTGGTAGCAGATCCCGAGACGGAATAATTGCCGTAATGCTAAGCAATTGAGGAAATGACACGACCACACTTTTCGTGTTTATGCTAACAAACTTCTCACGTTTTTTTTTTTTTTTTTGCCAAGCCAAACAAAAAAAAACCAAAACAATTTAGAAGAAAGCTTAAAAAAGAAAACAAACAGAACGACAAACAAAACAAACGCTGAATAATGTAAACAAATCGCTTGACCAGTTCAACGGGTTTTTTCGAGCGGCAGAGGGACAGACGGACGCATAGAGAGAGACAGGCAAATAGAGAGACAGAGAGAGAGAGAGCGCCAGAGAGTGAGGCAGCCACACCTGTTTTGCGCTCGCGCAACCACAAAGCTGAGCTGGCGCTCTCTCGACTTCCTCTCGCTCTCTCTCTCTCTCTCTCCCTCTCTATCTGTCTGTATATATGTGTGTGTGCCCAATATTTTGACCGGCACTGTGCCTTAACCTCGTTTCGCTTTCCGTTGGCCTGGCGGGCAGCCCTCTAACTGGTCTGGCCTGGCCTGGCCTGGCTCTCTGCGTGGATTGGGTCATCGACTTGCCAGCAATGCTGCAGTTGTTGTGCTTGTTGTTGTTATGTGTTTTGTTTTGCTAAGCCATTCTTGAGCTGTTTCAGTTTCATCTCGATCGCCAAACACTTCCGCTATAAGAGTCGCCAGATTTGTGGCTCACTTTCCAATGCGCATCTAATGCTCCTTAAGCGCATTGAGAAAACGTCACAGAAACTGGTTTTTCATGTAACTTTCGAACGCGTTACACCCCCAACCTCTCTCCTTCTACCACTTGATTGCATTTGCAACTGACGCGCACTCTCTCTCTTTCTCACTCTCTCTGTCTCTCCCTCACAAGGGGCGTATTACATTGGCGCCTACTGTACCTCACCAGGCTGTTGTTGTTATTGTTGTTGTCGCCAAAGGGCGAGCACTGTAAACTGAGTTTGCGATTTGTTGACCTCATTCCTCAGTCCAAGTCTCAGTCGCCGTTTCAGTTTCAGTCCGCGGCTCCCACACGTTAGCAATTGTAATGGGGTTTGGGCCTGGTCATGCAATTTGCTTACGTTGTCGTTGTCGTTGTTGTTGTTGTTGTTGTTGTTGTTGTTGTTGGCTCTGTCGACAACAGTTGTGTTGAGTTGGTGTCGGTTGCCTAGGCAGCCCAATTGGCGAACTCAATGACACAGCCAAAGGAAGGTCAGTGTCAGCTAGTGTTAAATTGTGTTTATTCCCTTAGTTTCACAAATACTACTGCAAACAGTTAATGGCTACATCAAAAAGGCAGTAGCTGACGAGCCGAGTTAAATGTTGTTAACAATCAAATGTTGAGACTGCCTGCAACCAACTACACAATTCCCGCCCAAAGTTCAAAGTGCGAAATCACAATTTATATAATACATTGTGGTATAAGCTATTGATTTAATATACAAGAATCCTGACAACAATAACTAGAAGAACAATATTAAAAATAAATACGACTATGAATATATACATTTGTATATAAATCTATTAATAATTATATAATAGAAGAGTAAAATTCGCAAGTTTTAGCGTTAAGTAGGGATTGGTATGAAGGCTCACTCAATAGATATAGCTCCATATGGTAAACAGAGTACATACTATAGTTATATAACTTAAAGATCTGTTGGCAGAGATAAATGTACATCTATACAGCGAACTATATTATAGAATGAATAATATATAAGCTGATAAAGGAGGCAACGAATACATCAAAGTCCATTCTATATAAGTCGATTTACGAAATCGTAAAGTCTCCATACATGTGGATTCCCTCGTTAGCATATAATATTCTGACTCGTATGCATCGCCCATTGTTGTTTTGATATTTAAGCATTGTCTGATACATAAGTTCCCTGCTGACTTGAATTTATTTTTGAAGCTCATTCAATTTAAATATTGATATACCACAAACCCATTAAATACGTAACAATTTTATTCGCTTGCCAATTCGAATCCAGTGTATGCGAATATAAATATTGAGTCTATGATATATAAAAGTCAATGCAAAGCAGAATATAGTTTTTAAGTCAACTTCTTTTTAGACATTCACAGAGCTAATATTCCCTTTTAAGAATTCTCCACAGAGTAGTGCATAGTTTGTCTATGCACTACTCTGTGGAGAATTCTTAAAAGGGAATATTAGCTCTGTGAATGTCTAAAAAGAAGTTGACTTAAAATTCAATGGCCTAACCCGCTGAGCCAACGAATGGCCCTAACAACTGTACAAACTGTAGCATATACATATACATATGTACGTACATCCATATATATATATGTAGATACACATTTTTTTTTAAATATTTGCCAACTTAAGCTGCTCTCAAACGAAGCTTATAATTCGCATTCAGAACACGCCCAATATTAGTTTACGTGAATCATAGAACAAACAGTTTGTTAGCCAGTTCAAGTTATGCACAATTAGCACAAGTCGAACAACAACAGCAACAACAAGTTGTCACGCCCTTATTGCTGCTGTTGTTGTTGCAGTTGTTGTTGTTGTTGTGGTTATTTGTTGTTTACTGTACTACAATAACAATTAGTTTTCGGGTGGGGCACAGCGAGAGCATCAGATCTTATAGATGAGATGAGAGCTGAGAGCAACGATCTTCGACTCTCTGAAATTGTCTCCGACTTCGACTCCGACTCAGAGTCAGAGTCAGACTCCGTCTCGGAGTCGCTTTGATAACGTTTGATGCACTTTTGCGTGTTGCCATAAAGTTAGTTTTAACTATTTTTACATGTTTACAAACGTTTTTCAGTCTTTCAGAAACAGGTTTTTAATTCAACTGGGTGTGTGTGTGTGTGTGTGTGTGGGTATTACAACATATTAGGTATATACAGTTGCGTACATGGGTAATACTTATTAGAGGTGCAGAAAAGTGCAGCAATTTCTGATGTTGATGCTGTTAGCCAAAATTAAAACACGTTTGCAGTGAGCCAAGCACTAAACACACACACAGATACAGTCAGAACTTGAAGCGCGCAGTTCGATTTGTGTTTGTATTTGTGTCTTTCTGTATGTGTACGGTCACACACATATATTTTCTATTTCAATTCGTTTTTCTTTTTTAATCCGTTCTATCGGAATCGGGAAAGTTTGAAACTGAAACCGACGACACGACAACGTCAACTGTTGTAGCTTACGTATAGCCCAAACCGTTCAGGCCCGAGCCCCAGCCCCATGGGCACAGTGAGAGAGTGAGAGAGACTAAAACTATACAGCGAGCGAGAGAGCCGCACACACACACGCACACACAGCGCGAGCATAATTGAACGCGCTAAGAGAACGGGCGCTTAAAACATGTTTGGAAACTTCAAAGCTAACAAAAGTGTTAATTGCAGCTCAAATTAGAAAAGTTAACTATAAAATACTTTATAGCATCTATTGTTAGTAGTTGCAAATTTTTAGTTAACATCGTTTCAAATTGGATTTAAAAGTTATATTTGTGTGTTTGGATGATATGGAAACTTCAAAGAAAAACTGTTAAAATCGCCAGCCACATTAGCCGAGTCTGAAACCAAACAACACCGTGTCTAATATATGAGACAGCACTGTTTAAGGTATAGATGTTGCCGCACTTATATTGAATTAAATATCTATTGCAAAGGAAATTTCAAATATCCCATACCTTTGTAATATAGACGAGAAATAACAGAAACGCCAAGTTATCCGATATACAAACCGTGCCAAGTTTATTAAGCTAAAGGGATAAAAACTGCTATTGCTGACAAATATTTTAATCGCATAGATGTATTTTCAATTATTTGAATTTGAATATGTTGTTTGTCTTCAGTTGTATCAAGCTGTCCATATCATGCAAATCCTGGCTAACATGCAACTCGAATTGGGCACCAGTGTAACAAGCCAAATTGACTTCTGAAACTATGGTTGCTAACTTTGCTGACGAAATAAATGTAATGGACATTTTAAAAATCCCATTGCCTACTTGAAATATAAGATAGATCTTCCAAGTTAGCCGTGTCACCAACCCGGCATGTTTACGGGCTTAAGGAACAAACACAACTTATATATGCATATATCCATCGTGAGGATCATTTTCAAATATTTTTATTTATTTCCCTTATTTGCTGCAAAGGTAATTTTAAAAATCCCACTGAAAATTCCCTTATCGTTTTATAAATTAAAATAACAAAGAAATGAAAACAGCAGTAGAATTAAGAACATAGTTAAAAGTCTTTATTTTATTTTTTTTATAATTGTTTTTAACTCTGGTTTTTCTTTTATGATTTAACAAAAAATATACACAGCTAGAAAACTAGGAAATAGAAAACTTGAATAAATACATATTTGTTAACTGTACAGAGCATTACGAATTAGTTGTTAGGGTTTTTTTGTTGTTGTTGTATTCGTGAGTTTATAGTTAATTATTATACATACGTATTACTACATAAGGTGCCACCTCAATATTGAAACAACAAAACTTAAATACAGTCTTTCCGTTTACAGGCCACAAAAATAATTGCCGCTACTTAAGAGAAACAATAACTAGCTACAACAACACAATGGAACGTATATGAAACAGCTACGACTGGAGTAACTGATATTTATTCATATATATGCATATGTATATATATATGTAGATATAAAATGGACTCTACTTTCTAGACTTTTTCTATGTACAGTTTGGTGTGGTTTTGTCAGATATCTGGATTATACACTAAATATCTCTATATTTTATACTTATTTCATATACGAAAGTCGCTCGCATATTGGGAAAAATTAAAGCATACTTTGCGGCTGAATTGTTAAATGCAAATGCCTGACAGAAGCTAAGTGATATATAACACCTTCCGCAATTTGCACGGTGAACATTTAATTCGCTGTAAGGGCACGACTGCAATCGATCCGTAGTTAAATTTTTGGTTTTAAGGAAAGTTTTCTGAAAACTCTTAAGCTCCAATTTACAAGCGCCATATCAGTTCCTACCTTCGGGGTTTACTTGCAACATAAATTTCTCTGATCAGTAGGTTTCATATCTCGCGATCGCGCAGCCTCAGGCTCAGCGGCGTTTTGGGTGCCAGAAGGAACTCGAATTCCGTTTCCAGCGGCTTCACGAAGCTCACATCAAAGGCCAACACAAGCTGGAGATGGAAGAATAATGACTATACGATATATATCGGCAATTAATATGCGCGAGCTAACCTTGGCCAGCAGCAGCACCACCTCCATTTCGACGAATCGCTTGCCGGGACACGTGCGTCGACCCACACCGAAGGGCACCACAATGCTGGCACTGTCCACGTTCACTGTGAAGTTGCCGGAGTTGGAGTCAATCCAGCGCTCGGGGCAGAACTGCTTGGCCTCCTGGAAGTTGGAGTCCTTGTGACAGGCGATCATGTTCTGGCACAGCACCACCGTCTAGACGAAATTAGTGTTAAGAAAGACCTGTTTTTAGCGACTACGATTTGCATACGGCTTCTGTATGGGCGTTGAGTACTCACGCCCGCATTCAAGGAGTAGCCGGAGAGCTCCATGTCCTCTTCGAGAATGCGTGCCAGGCAGAAGGCGGTGGGTCTCAGCCTGTACGATTCCTGAATACAGGCCTTCGTGTATGTGGCATTCGTCAGCGCGTCCTGCAGAATGTTCGTGTCACGATACTCACGAAACTCTTCGTATATGCGTGGTATAGCCGATTCCTCTCCAGTCACGGAACTGAGCACGAAAAGGAGGGTGTTGGCTAGCTAGAAAGAGAGATAATCGAAATAAGAAAAGTCTCAATTCCTAACTCTCATTTCTCAACTCGAAACCCTCTTGATTCTTAATCCTCAATTCTCCATTATCTGTTCTCCATTCTGTTTTCTTGTCCCCTCAGCTCTCTTACCGTTTCAATGCCCGCGGCTATAAAGTCAATTATGGCCGACTTCTTGTCCCGTATGTCCAGCTCCTTCAGCTCGAGTATATTAAGGAATACGCTGCGCAGGCCGGCAGCGTCCTCATCCTCGCAGGCCGCCGACTTCTTGTGCTCCTCCAGCTCGTTGTCGATGATCTCCGAGATGACACTGTAAGTATGCATTAGTCATGGCTGCTAGGCGAGCTGCCGCACGTCGTATCCTTATACCTACTCATAGATCAAGTCTTCGGCACGGGCGAACTCCCGATAGGTCTTCGTGGGAAAGTACTTCCAGAGGCCCAGGCCATAATACGAGTCGCGCTGGGAGATGAACAGCTGCTTGACGGCCGCCGCTAGTTGGCTGATCTTCTCCGGCTGCTTGGTATTGATGCTCAGGAAACCCATTCTCCTGCCCAGCATGAGGGTGCAGACGGCCTCCAGGCCCATCAGGTTCGCCAGCTCCTCGAAGTTGGCCACGACCTGAGTCTGGGGATCACGCTTGGCGCGCAGCAGCTCCACGAAATCATCACAGACGGCGTTCAGAGCGGGCAGAAAGTTCTGCAGGATGCGCGGCGAAGTGATGCTGGAGGTGAGGGAGGACCGCAGCCGATGCCACATCGGGCCCTGCTCGTTCACAATGCCGACGCTCGCATAGCGATCGGGCCGCGACTGCCGATACATCACGATGATTTCGGTGGGCGGGCGAAAGGGATACTTGCTGGGGTACTTGAGCACCTTGTCCAGATCCTCGCGATTATACAGATGCACGATGGGCACATTCGAGGGCATCACCTCGAGCACAATATCGCCATACTGACGATTCAGATCTATGCGTATGAAGAGAGAGAGAGAGAGAGAGAGAGAAGGGACGAGAGTCGTTTGGCATGTGCTGTAAATTGTGCTACGGGCATCTCTCACCTGCGTAGACCTCGTGCAGCTTCGTCATTTTGTAGCGCCGGAAAAAAATGAGGAATATCCACTTGGTGCCCAGGAAGGGAATGCGCTGCGGCCCAGGTATATCCCAGATGCTGCGCCGCTTCCGCTGCTCGATGGGCGTGGCATGGTAGCAGTCCTCGAGGGGCGTGTTCTTCAGCAGCGGCTTCTGATAAATCGCACTGATCTTTTGCCTGTGGATCGCGCAATAGCAGCCGAGTACGAGTGCCAGGGCGAGCAACAGTATCACGGCCATTACCATTGGGCGCTGCAGAGAGGGGAGTTGCAGACGGGGGAGTTTACTTATCGCACTCAAATTCTCATATATTTATATACATACATATATACATATGTACATACTTGATATATATTATGCAAATTTTGTCACACACTCGAGCTGATCGGCTTTTAATTGATTTCATGTACAGCACCCAGAGCAAACCGGTCCCTGGCCTTAACTCAAATGTTGCTTTATTTAGAAATTGGCAGCTAGATTCGCTAATCATTGATTTTGCATTGTGTTTGGGGTGTTTGAGATAAGAACACTGTAGAGCTTAATTCTTTTGTTGCGCCGTTCTGATAAGATAAACCCAGCCACGGCACAGTTCAAGGTTAAATGAAATGAAAAAACTAAGACATTATGACTTGCAAAAGGAAAAATTGGGCATTAGAGCAAAAAAAAAATACAAAATCAGATAAGAACGTTGAGCTCAATCGCAACCGACTGCATAATACTTGCTCAAGCGAATGCAAAGCTGGAAATAATTGTTGAATTGCCTTTTGACTATATTTGCTGTGGCTCGAGCTCATGAAATTTACGTAATTTGTATCTGCTTATAATTCATATCTGAAAGATTCGAGTTCGATATATGTAGATAAATGAAGTCATATACAGAATTTATAAGGACTAAAAGAAGTCTTCTACTAAATTGGTTTAGATCTGTTGGAGTATCTTGAAAGCTGAGAGAGTCGGAGCGGGAATTTTACTCTCCCTGAATGCTGTTCGCTACACATGTAAGTTAAAGCTGAAATCCATTTGCCACACCCGAAAGGATCCTATTCAACAAATGTCAACACTTGGTCATTTATTGCAATTACTTTAAAATATCGATCCATCAGATTGATAGATATCAAACCAATATACTTTTTTCACATAATAAAACGTATTATATATTGAATAAAAATTTCTATTGTTGAATTCAATATTCAAAAACACTTTGTGCTATACATAGATTATATGCATACATTTTAAATATTTTATCTTTGTCTGTATTTCATTTAAAAATATAACATCAGTATCTACCAAGAATAACTTTTATTAATTAACGTATTCCTAATATAATAAAAATATACATATATTCATAATTGCAGTTTACTTCATCAACTGTTTCTCTACAAGCGAAAACACTTTCTAGTACTCAATTATTAATGTTGCTTATCACGTTCTTGAATTATTCTTCAACTTGCGAAATAGGCTAAAGTACATACGTATCTATATATTCACATACATTGAAAAATATGAGTGTATTTTTGTGGCTCATATAATTAAGGCGTCATTGCTCTAAGCTGGCGTAAACAAAAGCCGAAAAAAGAGTCCAAGTTTTATTTGCGCATTGGACTATTGAATGGTGTTGTTGGTGTAGAGAAATACTTGATAGAAATCGTGAAATTCGAATTCGAATGGGACAGACGCAGAGACAGAGGTGGAAGAACTGAGAGTAAGGAACAAAAACTTTCCCATCGTCTCGGCTTACTTAATAAATTACATAATATGCTTTCTAATGTCGCATTCTGGCTGCTCGATGCTTTCTTCCCTGTTTGTCTTGTTGGCTTGTTGGCTTGTTGTCTGCCTGTTGGTTATGTTGTGTCTGAGCCGGTTTTAAGAGCCGACTCGTGGAACGGGGGCTTCTAACGCGGCTCTAACGACGACAGCCAACACGCGAAGACATTCCCCCGCTCGATTGAGACTCGACTCGATCTATCTATGTATCTGCATATTAATCATGGGGCCGGCAGTCGACGCGACGAGATCTGTGCTTAGGAGAATTCGCAAGAATTCTTATTAAAAAGCGAGTTTTTTTCATCTACTACGACTACTACTACTACAACTATTATTGCTAGCTGCTTGGAAAAGTGAGAAGCGCTTAGAACGGCGCACGCGTCGCCCCACAGATGAGGAAGTGATTAACAGCAAAGAAGGAAGTGCTGAACTGGCTGGTGATTTCTATTTCTTGTGTTTCCACTTTTCGCAAACCACAAGAATCCACAAAGTCAATTGAATAGACCTCAACTCCAGAGCGAACCTCTAGTTGAAAGCGAGTTGGCGACATTAGGGAGTCGCCCAAAGTCACGTAGCTACCCCAAATGTATATCTCTAAGTCTAGCTTGAAGTGTTCTTTATCTTAATTTCTGCGCAAATATATATCGTGTGTTTTATTTGATATATTTATATATTTGTGTGTGTGTATGTTTGTGTGTGAGCTGGACAAACATCAGTGGGCCAGGTACTTTCTGTTTATGACCAATTAATCATTCTCAAACATACATTCGAGAGCACACAAGATAATTATATAAAATCAATATCAAATCAAAGCTGGGAAGTACTTCCGTTGGGAATGCCTTTAAAATTGTGAATACAATTTAGAAAAAAATCCAAAATACATTTAACACATAATTCTAAGAAAAAGTGTATGTAAATAATATAAATTGGTTTATTGAAGCTAGAATTTTATAGCAATGTGATAAATAAAAGAATGGGGGGAAAAATATAAAATATAAAATATAAATATATATAAATATATAAAAAATCAAATCAACCCAAATTACTTTTAGAGATCTAAAGAAAAGAAAATTTGACAAAATGATTTAGTTTATTTAATTTGGAATTATCTAAAGTTGAGGTTGAGTGAAATAATGAATGAAGAAATGTCTATCTCTATCCTAAATAATTTTAGAACCACTGAGACAAGTTCTAATTGCTTGCCAAACTTTCAAGCATTTTTGATTGGCTCCCAGCCCACTGTATGGGTCGCACGCCTGTCTGAGAGCTCCACGCGCGCTGTGGCATTCCTTAGCTTAATTTGTTGATCATTTTTCAGCTTTCTTCAGTTGTATTTTTTCCTTGGTATTACCTTACAGCTTTCGATGAATGCTTTCCCAAAAACAAAAAGTACAAACAAACACGCACAAAAAAAAAAAACACATACAAATGCAATATAAAAATGTAAATAATTTCGACAAATTCAGCAAATTAGTTTGCATTGAACTGATTCCTGCGGCGTCTGGCTGTCCAAGTCCAAGTGCAACCGCAAATTAATGTTGACACCTACATAAAATTATTCAGCGTTTGCTTAGTTACTTAGTAAAGTAAAAAATAAATGATATATGTATATAAAACTCGTACTTATACAAGGCGACCTGCAAACGTAGCTAAAATGTGGCACAAAAAAATCAGTTTAAAAAATGAAAAAAAAAAAAAAAATAAAATTATACAAAAAAATGACAAAAAAAAAACTCAAATTGAAAAAAAGTGTTCTACCAATTAGCCGATATTTTGCCGTTGTTTATTTTGCGAAATAAACAAGTTTGTGTTTTCATCAGAATTTACATAAAGTTTTGATCATATTCTTGGCTATTTTTTTTTTTTATTGGCACATTTTTCACAATTTATGCAAATCAAAAGAGCCAAAAATAAATATATATATATATATATACAAGTATATATAAAAAAATATATATAAGAGAATAAAAAGCCACGCGATCCGCTGCGCAGTTACAGAAGAAGAAACCTCAGCTCAAAGCGTAGAACGCTCAACATCAGCAGATTATGTCACTACCGACCGACCATATAACATTGCACACGCAACGGAACCCAAACGATCCGATGGTTCGTTCATGGTCATGGCCAAGTCTCAAGCCCCAGCCCCAAGCCCCAAGCCTCAAGCCTCAAGCGACAAACAGCCAAACAGCCAAACAGACAACAGGCAAGCCAGCAGAGGCAGCAGCAGCCGCAGCCAGCTAACAATTTTTCGCGCATAGCATTTGTCAGCTGACGGTGCTAGAAAGAGACAGCTGAGGAGAAAGATATGGAGAGAGGGCGGGAGGGGGAAAGAGTAGGAGATAGAGACCGCAACCCATTAGCTAAGCCCTGTCCGACGTTTGGCCAAGTTCAATGTACGGCCAACGACGCGCATGAAAACAACTGAACAGCTGAACACCTGAACAGCTGAATAGAGGAGTCTGTAGACAACCTCCACCTACCTGCCTAACCAAACCAAACTCACCTGCCCACCTGTCCAGCTGCCCACCTTGCCGCCACCTTCCCATGGCTTTGAATCGTAATAGAGAGAAATAGAGAAATTTCGCATTAGATTATTGCAGAAGCGCTAAGGCCTCGAGCAAACTAGCTTTGGGCTTTCATGTTGTTGCTGCTGTTGATGTTGTTGCTGTTGCTTTTGCCGTTGGCTCTGGTGAATTATTCAATACCTGAAGAATCGTTAGAAATGAAGTAGAGGAGAGCCCCAAAGGGCACACCTCGAAATTCTTAAAATAACACGGAGCGTGCAATATCTAGAAAGTTCAGAAAAATATTGAATCGAATTCAATGAATAGGATTTATGTCTTCTAGGCTTTCCTTGATGATAATCATAAATAAATAAATGATATTAGCTCTGCTTGAATAGTTCTACATATACAAGCAAATCAAATCAGTTCACGCAACCGAGTTGCATGTTTTAAATTTTACTTAATTTCATTAAAAATTTGGAGTGCGTGCTTACAGCCCATAATTTATACTCAAAAATTACATTCCAGATCAAAATAAAAATAAAAAACCCATATATATCATTGCCCTGAGAAGTGTCGGTCAATGCACGTTATTTGAAACAAAAAAATGAAAGAAATAAATAAACAAACAAAATCTTAAAACATAAAATATAAAAAGAGGAGTGACTGGCTGGCAATCACTTTCAGAATGTAAAATGTAAAATAATTGTTTTGTGTTTATTACAAATCGGGCTAATAACAAAAGGCAAATATCAATTGCACAATTCCCTCTTAATGATGATAATGAACTTGAGCCGTTTGTATATACATAAATGTTATTTGATAACGAAGGCGAATTATTTCTATACAAAATGTGCCTGCAACTGTCTGCTAAATAATAATGAGTAATTCATTAATAAATCAACAACAAATCGGATGCAGCCGAAGCGAATTCACACTCAAAGCGCCCCCAGCCCAGACCCAAGAGAGGCTAATTATTGTTCAATGTTTGCCAAAGTAATATAAATATATATGTAGCATATATATAAATATAATGTAATGCTATTTTTATGTTTGCTCATTTCATTTGCATGTGGCATATATTTAATAATACATTTATTTTGATTAACTGCGAATTGTGAAACATTTTTTTGCACTTGGAAAAAAACGTGGGCATATTTATCCACCTAGAGTTATGCTAAAATTGTTTATTTTAATGTCTCTTATATTTTAAATTTGAACTACATATATCTTAGTTTACTATCACAAATTCAAGGACTATCCCATGCAAAACTCGACCTTGACCCATTTGAATTGCGGCACAAACCCTAATAAGAATATTCATGTCTCTTATTAAAACATTTACATTTTAAGAACTGTATTTGCTTAGGCACACCATTTCACTATTAGTTTATAATCTCTATATATTCGTATGTATTTACTTGTACATATGTATATATGTATGTTTCACTACTGCCAACTTACCTTATTATTTTGTATTACTTTTAAATCCAAAAGCAGATCCGTTTCGTTGTTGTTGATTGAGTTTTAGTTAGCATTTTAGGCATTTTTTGCTCCACTTGGTTAACTTAATTTATTTATTGGCGAGCATATTGCACTGCATAACACATTTATGGTATGTATGTATGGTTGTATGTAGATATATAAGTAAGACTATTATCACTAACCGGCATTTGAATTGGTTTTCAATTATAATATATAGATAGAACTAATTGATATTTTCTTTCTTCTAGAATATTTTATAAATATTTTAGCTATATTGCACATTGATAATATATTTTTTTGTTGATTATTAAAGCTCTTTATTGCTGCATATTTTCGTTCCCTCTCGCTCACTCTCTATCTCTCTCTCTCTCTTTCTGTCTCCTCTGGCTGCCTTTCTAATCAAAATCAGAAGCTTCGTTCCGCAGTTGTTGTTGTTGTTGTTGGTGGTGGTAGTAGTGTTGCTCTCGTCATGGTTCCGAAAACAATAGAATATGCTCAACTTGATTTTTTAATCACATCCAGACATTGCACTTTTGCACTCGTACTGGAGATTCGTAATTGCTGACTGCCTATTGTTGTGCGTTGTGTGTGCGTGTGTGCGCTTGTGTGTAATCAAAACTGCATCCGTATCCGTTCGATAGAAATATTTGGATATACATATACATATATGACGCGTGTGCTTGCGTTGCCCGAGACCCGACCCGATATCGAAGGAATCAACTGAACAGACGAGAACAGAACAGCACAGAGTTAAATCAGAATCCGATTCAGAATCCGAAACAGTAGCCGAACCACAGTGCCCGCTGCGATGACAACTGCGACGCTTAGTCAAAGACTGACTGAATATGAATGGGAATGAGTGTTGAGTCCACGGTCTACAACGGCGACGGCGACGGCCACGATGTACGATCGTTTGAGCGCCTCGGCAATGCGATCGCCGCGAGCGGCTCTTCCAACTGATTTAATAGCCATGCCATACAACAACAACAACAACAACAACAGCAGCAGCAACAGCAACAGCAATGAGAGCGGCAGCAGCAGCAGCAACAACAGATGCAACAAGTGGCTACGATTCGGATCGATCGGGTTGATCGTGCAATCAACGAGCGTGCGATCGATTGACCGACCGACCAGCTGTTCGAGTCCGTTTTGTGTGAGTAAGGCAAGGTTCTATCTATCGTGTGTGTGTGTGTGTGTGTGCGAGTATCAGTGTGTGTGTGGGGTCTGGTCTCCCGGCAGGCGATGCCGCATGATATGATAGCATTGTGCCTGAACCTTGTTGTCTACACTCACTCTCTCACGCTCGCAGCAGACTAATAGACTGACTCGCTTGCTCTTTCTCTCTCTCTCCCTCTCTGTGTCAGTGTCGTGCGCTCTCGCTCTCATTGCGGCAGTTCGCGCTCTCCCGCTGATAAGAGGACAACAACAACAAGAGGCGCGCTGTCGTTTGACTTCTCGCCTGCCGCTTGTGTTTCTTCCTCTCTCTGCCCGTTCGCCTGTGTGTGTGTGTGTGTGTGCGTGTGTGTGTTTTTCTTCTTGTTGCTTTTTTTTTGCATATAAAAGCTCAATGAAAGTTTGCTAAGAAACAATGGAAGCCAAGGCGATTTGTTGCTGTTGTTGAGTGGCTTATTGAAATGTTTACATTGAGAGCTGCATTTATGCAACCCATTGGCGGGCAGAGGCAGCAGGCGGAGCAGAGGCAGAGGCAGCGACAGCTACCTCAATGCGTGGCCGCGTGCGCTGCTTGGAGTTGCCTCTCAGCAATCAGCTTGGCGTGAGGTAGGTTGACTGCAACTACGACGACGACTACGACGGCGACTGCGACTGCGACTGCGACTGCGACTGCGACTGCGATAGAGACGACAACAACTGCATACACAACTGGTTCGCATAGGCCGCCGAATCAGCTGTGCCGCGTCTGTCCGTCCGGCTAGATGTCTAACCAGCTACAACAATGTTGCCGCCTCTGCTGGCTGGGATTTGTGCGTGTGAGCGCTGCGAGCGGCAGGAGACGGAGCTGCTGCTGCTGCTGCTGCTGCTGCTGCTGCTGGAGCTAGAGCTGGAGCTGGAACGTCAATTATATATGCGCAGAGGGCGACGGGGCCTGGGGCGAGCGAGTGTGAGTGAGCGCTAATTGTCTTGATTGAGTTTTAAATTAATGCGAATTTGAGTTGTATGTTTATCTTGTTGCTGTTGCTGCTGCTGCCGCTGTTGCACTTGTGTTTCAAGTCACATACATAAACATACGCAAATAAACTGTTGAACTAGTAATACTTTAATAGAGCTCATTCAGTGCATAAAGTAGCACGAGCACGACTAAGGCTCGGCAGGGTCTGGCGTAAGCCATCGAGCCATTCATATATTATTTATTAGAGAATACCAACATTCATTGACTGAAGCGAGCTGCTCGCTTCACGGAACCCGCCGTGCTTAGCTTTGTTGACTTCCCAAGTGGCTCACACGCTACTCCGGAATGCCTGGGCTGGTATCATATTGTTGATCCTGTCGATCAACTGGCGGCTAAACAATGCGTTCAGCTTGTGATTATGTCTCATCTGGCAGCAACATGAATGAGTGCATGAATGAATGACTGATTGGCTGACTGGCTGACTGGCTGACTGAGTGAATGCAAGCTCATGGGCTTTGCATTATTAATTAACTCGACTCTGCTGTTGCTGCTGCGGCTGCTGCTTCCCTTTGTGTGAATCCACCAGCCATTATGCCATACCAGACTGCCTGCCTTCTGCTGGCTGCTGGCTGCTGCCTGTTGTCTGTTGGCTGTTGGCTGTTGGCTTCCTCGTCTTGTCTCGTCTCCTCTTCTTGGCTCGGTCGGCAAGTCAATCAAAGGCAAAAACAAAAGGCAATGCTGTTAATACTTCTTTTTTTTTCAATTAGCTGTATACGCAACACAAACACACTCACACACACACGTACACACACACACACACACGCACGAGTGAAACACAACAACTACAATTAACAACAACAAGCAACAAGCCTCTTTTCCAAACGAACAGGTTTCTCACACGCTGCGGAGGACGCCAACGTTCTATGCCTTTCGGTTTGTGTTTTCAAGATTTTCATTTGAATTTTCATTTTACGACAAGTTTCCTCTGGAGGTGCTTAAAACTTTTTTCCTTCACCACATCTAATATTCCGAAACGATTCTCGATCGTCTCACACTGTGTCTCTCGCTCTCTTAATATGTAAATGATAATGACGATGATGAGGACACCGATGCCGATGCCGATGCCGATAATGACGATGACGCTGACGCTGACGATGGGCTGCCGTCAGACACAAAGTTCTTTTCAACACTTTCGGCTCACTTCATTTTATGGACTAAAGCGTAAGACTTGGATCGGGTTTTGCGCTGAGGCCGCCGCTGCAGCTCTTGGCACACACAGCAATTGCAATTGGGGGAGCTGCCTTTGATGGAGCCTGAGCTCCGCTTGCTGCCGTGTCAGTCTCAGTCCCAGTCCCAGTCCCAGTTCCACTCTGTAGCAGCAGCCACAGCCACAGCTATACAGAGCTACAGCTCAGCGTTCCCTTAACATTTAATGAGCATTAACAAGCTGCACTTAAATGCAATAACAACAACAATTGATAACAAGCAGGAATGCTCCATTTGAAGAAGAGAGCTTCAAGCTGGTAAAAGGGTTGAGACGATCAGCTGGTGCCCTGCCCAAGGCAGCTGCTCTTCTTTGCGATTCTCAGAATGAGAGTGTAGTTATAGAAGACTTTTATTTTGAGTTTGGTTTGCTTTTGAAGTGTAGTTCGTATACCAATTATATTTGGTATCTGCTAGGTAAGTTGATTCATCTAACGAGTAGAAAGTTTTAAATCAAAATATATTTTTTACAATATAAATCTTTTTTTAGATCTTTTCTTGACACAAGCCTGAGCACTTGATCTCTCGATCTCGAGATTCGTATTGACTTTGGATTCAAATTATATTTCAACACGAAATCGTAAATGCATTCTAGGACTTACTTACCCACTTTGTGGACATGCAGGGTACACTCACAATCAGCTCCACGCTGTCTGAGTGCTCGAGCATAAATAGTCGTAGTACTCGTACTGCGCTATATGCGTATGTCATCGTGTCTATGTGAGTGTTTCGCTTGATTAACACGAGCTGCAAATTCATTTTGCCTTGTTGTCTTCCTCTGTTTTATTGTACTTGCTTGCGTGTGTGTGTAAGTGGGCTGGAAGCTGTCGCAGTCGCAGCCGCACCCGGCCGATGCATTGCATCTCGCCATCCTCTGCAGCTCAACCGTTTCACAGAGAGCGCAGAACCGAGAATATCGAGAGTGGAGAGCCGTGAGCCGTGAGCCGAGAGCCTGCTCTGCGAGCTATACTGTGCCAGTTATAAGCGGTAAATCGATGCTGAGGGCCATCTTCTGCGTGTGTATGTGACCCAATGATCTATAAAGGGCGCGGGCAGCGGCTCTACGAGTTGATAAGAAAAGCGAAAATCCATCAGAGCAGCGATTACTTCAGACTTCGAATCGGAACATAATCTACTATTACAAGACTCTACATGCACACATACGTATAATCTACCCATTCATTGAAGCACTCACACACACACATACACCATATAAATGCATGCCCCACTCCACATTCGGATTCCCATTCATTTCCATATACATTGCGCGATCTCGACGTCGTCGTCGTCGTCGTTGTAGTCGCATTGCTTGTCCTTGAACTTGACCCAGCAACGTTGGCGAGCGGCCCTTTATTTATGATTATTATTGTATATTGTACAAGTGTACACTTTTATACTATAATTAATAAATTGAAGTCTGTGTGGATCTCCCCCTCCCCTCTCTCTTTCTCGATCTCGTTCTCTGTCCCTCTTTCTTCGAGCCAGTGCGAGTGGCTACTTATCTCTGAAGTGCTGCTGTGCGCTGTTTGTCACTCGCCTGTTTCTTCTGTTTCTGACTTTTTTTTTTATTTAGTCATATTTTTTGTATGCTTTTTGCGTATTAAACAAATTTTTCTGACACTCAACATGTTGATCTCTTGCACTTTGGACTGATAACAAATGGAATTTTAAACAAAATATTGCAATTTGTATTTTTATGTTGAGTATTCGCAAAAAATGTATAATTAAATCAGTGAATATGCATTGCGATTGTTGATTTTATTCTAGAAAGAACTCGTTGTAGATATGATCAGATATAAACTAGGTGAGATATGTCTATGCAGAAAATATGTAATTTAATTTATACCCTAAGTGTCTCTATTGTGTTGTACATTCGTATGATTCATTATTATTGTTATTGGTGGCTATTGGTGGTTATTTTAAATAAAATATAGAAAATTGAAGTGATATACACTCTTATGAAAATGTCTATGGCTTAGACAACGGTAACTGTGAGTCAAATTCATATTCTCCTTGCTCAAAATTCTTGTTTATTAAGTAGTTTAGACAAATCACAAATAGAACAGCAACTCGTAACTCAGATCATCAATAAATAGGGTAACCTAATACTATTAGGATTTTTATTAATGAGCGAGATAAAGTATAAAAGTGAATTTACAACTTAAGAGACCTAAACTTAATGGATTATATAAACTTATAGGACCATGTAGCTAGGTAGATTGTTTCATTAATACAAAGATTAATTGACGCTGAAGCAAGTAATGAACGACATTTCAAAATCTCACATGATTTTGTTCATGTTTGCTTAACATATTTGAAAGTATCATCTCAATATACTACTATACCCTGATTCAGACTGTGGGTGTCTGATTGAATCCGGTTGGCTGCTAGGTTTAGTCAATCTCAGTTTAAGAAAACATCAATTATCTCTACAATTGCTGTCAATATAAATATGATTTAAAAAACTTTATCATATTCATATATAGTATACCAAACTTTATTCAGCAGACCAAAAGTTTTCCTCAATAGAAACTAATTCCTTATTAAGATATACATGATGTATTATTAATCAATATAATCTTAATAATACATTATATAATATAAATCGTAATATGTCCGTGTTTGGTCAAAGTAAAAAGAAACTTCTATCTTTTCGCTCAGTAGAAAACAAAAAAATTAAATTTAACTCAATTTGTGCAAAATGCATTTCCGCATTGCGGACTAGTCATCCGAACTTTGCTCTACTTATATCAAATCGTTGTTGTAACTACGCAGCTCCAAGTATTTCTAAACATATTCTAGAGTCTTCGAGTTGGCCTAGTTCACTGAAATAGTTCTATGCATAGGCTTCGCTTTCAGCATAGCTTGGTTGACTCATTGACTTGGCCGAGCCATTGATCAACTTTCTCAGACTTTCTCATAGACCAGCTCTGCATAGCTCGTCAGAATTCTGCCCAAGGGGCTATCATTTTGCATAGGTCAAACATTTCAGTATTTCGTTCGAGCGATTTGTTGTCTGAGCTCCGGCACTGAATATGGCGCTACTCGTATTACGAGCGCCAAACTCTGCCCCGCTATGCAGGCCCGGCCCGGCCCGGCCCAGCCCAGCCCGGCTTTTTGGCTCGACTCGGTCTGGCTGTCTACAATTTCAGTGCATGGCGCTTTTCTAGGTTATTTAGCCATGCAGTTTTTGCAATTGCCGCATTGAACGCGGCTTATGCCACTCGCATGCTAATTTCGTAATATCGAACGACTTTATAGGCACAGACCCGCACGAGTCTTTAACGTGATAAGAGTTTGTTTGTTTTATTTATACGTTTTAATCAGAGAATTGCGTGTTAGCTGCTCCCACGCTGCGTATGCTTAATTATTTCTATATTTATTTATTTAGGTCTAGGGTTTAAGTTTTTGATTTGTGGATTTGACTAAATCTTTTCAATCTATGACAGAATTGACGTTTATAATTATTATTCTTATCACTTTTTTTTTAGCAGTTACTATCTTAATTCATAATAAATACTTGTTATAAAGTTTTTATATGTTTTATTTATTTTACTTACATTTGTGTAAGATCAATGTCTTGCATATTACATTATGAAATAATTTATATCTGATTATTAATTATTTTTATATTTATTTATTTAGGCCTTTAGGCTTAAGTCTTAAATTTGTGTACTTGTGTAAATAAAAATCTATGACTGAATTAACAATTACAACTAATTGTATTTTTATAGAGCAGCAACAATTTTAATTCAGTATTCAGTAATGATTATTTCTTTCCAAGGCATTCCTCGAATGTGGGATGCACACTATTAATAAGCAAAACAGTTATTTAAAGTTATTTAGTTATTAAAACCATCTCGAGAGATCTCTCTCCAAGCAAAATAACGTTTAGTTGCATTTTCGCCGAACGCTTAAAAGTATGCTACATTATTTAATACGTTTTAGTGTATAGTGCGCACAGGGTGTTTCATTCACTCACGCACACACGCACGCTCACACGCATACATGCAGGTATGCAAATGTGAAAGCGGCAGCTATAAACATTTATGGCACAAGTATAAACAAATGATCAAATTTAATTAATGGCACATTTATGTTTGCTGCTGCCACTTAATTTTTATAAATCGCAATTCAGCCAAGCCACGCGTAATTAAACACACAAAACCAACAACAACAATTGTGCACAGCAACAGCACTACAACACAGTGAAAGCAACAGCAACAGCAACAATAAACAGCAGAAGCAACAACAATTATTACGCATAACCCACGACATCTCGACAGCTGGGACAGTTTTTGTTATTTGGTAGCTCGCATTACGTATATTTCCATAAAAGAGCCCAATCCCCCGATTCCCCCCATCCGACTCCCTTCCGCAGCTTTCGGCAGAAGCCACAAAATGCGTGTTTATTAATTAAGCGCATTTGTTTTCATTAAACAAACGTTTTAATTGAGCATGAAACTTGGCGCCGCATACAAAAACAGGCCGCGACAGGGCAATAGACGCTGACTATACGGCCACAACCCTTTTGCAACCCTTTAGCCATGCACTCACCTGACAAGTCAACCAGCCCCCATTTCCAGCATTCCCCCACTCGCCCACTCCCCCACTCCTCCATTCAAGCAGCTGCCTACACATATTTCCAACATAACAATTAATTTTGTGTATTTTAATGGATTATTATGCGAGCATCGTAGACGCAACCGAGCGAAATCCGCGTGCTCCGACATCTTTTGTCAGCCTTGATTGATGAAAAAGCAGAAACAAATCTAGACACTTGCTTTTGGTTAAGCGTTTGAAAAAGAATTTAAATAAGTGTTTGATTACTAAATTAAATTAAATTAAACTCAAATTTCTCAATTTAATATAATAAGATGATAATGTTGTATACTACAAATGATGTTAAATTTTGAGATATTATTTTCATTATTATATTTATATAATAACACATTATTATACCAAAATTTATGTTACTTTTTATACAAATTTATTTCCAGTGTATATGATTAAATAGAATAATTCTAGGTTATACTGAAAATAAATAAATTAAATTAAAATGAAAATTAAATAAATATAAACATATAAATCAAATTAAAATAAACTTTTTAATGATTCTAGAATATATTATCCCTTCTAGTAAATATTATCTTCTCAGACACTCTCTGATACTATAAGATATATGGAAATTATGATCTAGAATCGTAAATCCGTTGATATGGTTGATAGCTATATAAATTTATGAGTGAATACGACTGTCAATCCAAGCATAGCTGACTCACTTTCCCTTCTGATTATCCCTTTAGTATAATATTCCTTTCTTATATTAGCTTGGATTGACAATCGTATTCACTCATTGCTTATAGAAGCAAAGCATACTCGAGAATATCTAGCTCAGTCCAATTTTACTCTTATTTGTATCCTTCAAGATTTGACGAAATTATAATGCCAGTGAAACGATTCCAAACATCCATATTAAGAGATTTCTATATTCGAAGAGTGTGAGAATTATGAGAGTGAGCAATTAGAATCATTTGGTTCGACTGTGCGACACATTTTATAAGGCGGCGAGGCCATTAAATGTGTTAAGTACAGAAGTATAGAAAATGCTGCCAAAAGTGAATTGGCAGCCGTTCGACTTACTTTTATGACTTGGCTTGACTTAATTCACAATATGTATTCCACTCTATACTCGGCTACTCACTGTAGCTCTTAACTCATCTCAGTCGCCGCACACAAATCATAATTTCGCTGGCCGTAGATAAAGTAAGTAATGCGGCGCTTGCTGCTTGCTAAATGGATTTCCCAAAGCATTTGCCAAGTTTATGAAAAATAATCATAAACGAACAGAGAGAGAGAGAGAGAGAGAGAGAGAGAGAGAGAAAGAGAGAGTGGGGGAAAGAGAGAGGCAGATATATAGAGATACGAAAGAATTTACGCACTGGTTGGCTAGGCATATAAAGTGCTTTTAAAACCCAGCCAACGAGTTGATGTGCTTGGGGTAAAAGTTTTTTCTGGGCCGTAGAAAAGTGTTTTTCATAAGCAATAATAATAATATCGAGGCCGAATTTTAATTGCACCCAAGTGGCACATTGAAAAGGCAGCGAACTGTATGAGCTCGCACACACACAAACACAGATACACACACACACAGACTAGAGCGAGCTCTGAACGGACCAGTTGAATGATGTGTTTTCAAAAGGATACAGAGCTCTGCAAAAAAGGCGTTTATACTCGTAGATAAATATATAAAAGTAAATTAAGAATTTAAACAAATATGAAATGATAGAGAAAAGAGCTAGAAAGGAGGTAAAGTAAATAAGGTGTTGTGTTGTTATTAAAAAAATGAGATAAATTCTGACATGGTGACCGACTGGGAAAACGCCTTATTCAAAGTTATGAAAGATACACTTTTAAGCGTATCTACAACAGAAACACAAAAATCACGTGTGCCAAGCTCGGATACCCCAAAATCTGTATGTGGAAATTATATACAGTATGCGATCTTATAGAGTACTTACAGTACATAGAATATTCTATTGTAGATGTGTAAACTTTACTACATAACTTTATTAATATATTGAATTACAATATTAAATTAACCAATCGAAATAAGCAACAATAAAATATTCAGTCATTTGCAATTAGATAAGCTAACAATAAGTATTATTGCATTTCATTTCAATTATGGGGAGTTGAAATTAATATTTTCTTGTTAGAGCTTCCTTGATATTGAAAAGAAATGCTAAACTGAATTGGCCTCTCTTCTTTCTCTCTCTCTCTCTCTCTCGCTTGAATGGATTTTTTTTCCATTTGGCAATGGCAAAGTAAAAGTCAAAAATATGAGCGAAACGAATTTTTTAACGTTTTTATTTTTGTGTTTCTCGACTTTTACGAATTCAATTTGCGCCATTGTGTATTAGAGGGGGGGGGGTGTGTGTGACGGGGTATCAACGAATAGCTACAGCATACCAGTGAGCAGGAGGGTAGGCGGGTCGCTGGGTAGGAGTGCAGGTAGGAGGTGTGGGAGTGGCACACCTCACTTCGCTTGTAGTGTCGCGGCAAATGTCATAAAAATATGCGACATTTCGTTTTTATCGCTTTTGAAAAACTTTATTCTTGGCGCTTTGTATAACACCCGACACTTGGATTTCAGCTTTCTGCTTTCTGTTTTCTGCTTTCTCGTTTCCCACTGCTCGTTGCTCGATTTTTATTCTTTATTTACATTGGCAATTTCTTTGTTTTAAACAAGCAGCGCATTGCCTTTTATTTCCGTAGCTCGATTGGCGATTGGAACGCGCCCGATTGGCTACGATTGAATTCGACTGGATGGGGGCTCGACTCGCACAGTGATACTAACTGATGAATACGCACTTATATTTTTATGAATTGCAGTGCGGACCGAATGATATGATCTGAGTGTACTTATGGAGTTTATCTAGTACTATTACAGGGCTGCAATCTTTCTTAAAGGGGTTTCTGAACTAAATTAACTTAATCATCGGAAAATTGTTTCGCATCTTCATAGATTTTTCGAAAGTTTGTCCATTATAACAAATTGGAAATTTAATAAAATACATATGAATTTATATTAAGCTCTAAAGATGTATGTGTTATAATATAATAATAATTATTATTATATAATTTTATATTAATATAATTATAATTACAATTATAATTAATTTATTAATTTTTGTTCGAGAATATATACAGTCTATAATATTGACCAGAAGTAGGCATACTTCCGTATGTTACATACTCCTGCTTTACAAACGGTTTAATTATTTTCTACGCGTTTATATATATCATGATAATATTAAATGTATATATCTTTAAATATTTAATAGAAAATGATACACTAAATCTACAAATTATTATTATTGTTTTTTTTTTTTTTTTTTTTTTTTTTTTTTTTTTTTTAAATCATTAATATAATAAATACTTTGGTTTTCATAACCCTCTTTAATTCTAAGCAGTAAAATTACATATACTTTATATGTTTACGTTACGCTGAGATCATTTCTCCTTACAGAAACAGGTGTCACATATATTATCTATTAAGTTAGGTTTATTTATCTGTATATAAATGTAACTAAACCTAATAATAATAATTTCGATAGTTTCACGTATTGTTCAGCACACTGTATTGCTTGAGCTGCCCCTATGCTGCCATAACAAACTCCCACTCCAGCAAGCTAAACATCATCAACAACATGGCTGTCCCTCTTCGAATGGGCACTCGAGGAAAACAGCTTTTTCGCGTCGCCATAAAATGCAAGTGGTCAAAAGAGAGTGAGAGAATGAGAGAGTGGCAGAGAGAAAAGAAAATCAGAAAATGAAAAACGAAGAAAAACAATTAAATGGCAAGCATCAACAGCAGCAGCGGCAGTGGCAGCCATCGTTGGGTGAAGAAAACAAGCGAATAAACTTGGTAGCTGCATTTGCGACACACGTCGAATGGCGCTGCCGCCAATGGGGCAACTCAGTTTAATTGAAATCAAGTCGACAGCGAAGGATGTGGGCGGCTGGGTGCGACCGGGCGGGGTCAGGCTTGCAAATCGAATTGAAAAATCCAAAAACGTATTCGAAAATCGACAGCAAAAGTAATTGAAATTGTATGAGCAACAATATAAAGTAGGCAGACTAAGGGGTCAGGGTTGGGGTCAGTTCAAAGGCGGCAGCAGTGTCCAAGCCCCAACCCCCGCACCACACTGGGCACATAAATTGGCAAGCAGGAGGACATTGCAGCAAAAATCAATGAGTCCACGGTATAGCAGGCAGCCAAGGTACTCTAACGGATGCAAAGATAAACGGTGAAGACAAATACATTTTTATGAACATTCAAAAGTTGTACAAATGCTTACAAAGTATGCTATAAATAATGAAGAATGCGTGGTTAATAATAACTAGTAGTACTTCGTTTAGCAGCTGAAATCGTATCATGCTTACACGGTTTTCAATTTCAATATCAAATTGATATAGCATATACATACATATGTATGTATGTATAATTTGAAAATATTTTTTTTTTTTTTTCAAATTTTCTATATGCACACATTTAGAGAGATGGCGAAAGAGTTCGACCACTCAATATATTTTTAAAAAAATTTTACTTTGAAAACATTGAAAATAGAAATATTGGTCTATTGGCTATGTTAAATGTATGTAACAGGCAGAAGGAGGCGTGGCAGACCCCATATAGTGTATATATTATTGATCAGGGTGAGAAGCTGAGTCGATTTAGCCCTGTCTATCCGTCGTTCGGTATGTGGTATCGATTTCAGAAGATATAAAAGCAGCTTGATTTTTGTTGACAAAAATCGATATCTACTGCTTTTTTATCATCGATTAAAAAACTTATCGAAAATCTATTTTAAAATTAAATCTGCAGAGCTCGAGACTGTAGACTTAGACTGTATTGTTGTTTATTGTATACGGTTTCGATTTTGTATTCAGTTGGGGATTTTTTAATCCCCAAAGCATCCCTATTATCACTCCACTATCATTTCTTCAAAGAGTTTTAAGTAAGTAAGGCTTTTAGTTATTATATTGATTTCTATCTGATCTTAAACTTAACTCCAAATAAGAATCTAAATCATTCGCATATTGAATGAATTTCTCTATTGCGTTGCAAACGGATTCGCAGAGTGAGCGGATCCTTTGTAAAGTAAGGAAACCTAAAAGTTTTCAGGCCTTGGCACTTTTTTTTATGGTTTTCGCTGACGCACCCACACACTCGCTATAAGTAGGAAAATTTATGAGCCATGTTTGAGAGGTGGAAGATTCTACTACAGCTCGAACGTTTGCCAGTTTCTTAAGCTGATTAGCTGGCAAGCAAAATGATTTTTAATTACTGCGTCAGAAAAACACTTTGCGCACTTCGTTCAAATTCAAATACGAGTGGAAATTGTGATTCATTTCAGCTGGCATAGGGGTGCCCGAGGCAATTTGCAAATTGTTTTCTAAGCGCACGGGCACAAAATCGAAAAGTGTCAGCAGAATAAACGCTGACAATAAATAAAAATGGAAAATGATTGAAACATGTGCCATGCGCTCGCCTCTCGTTTGATATGCCATACACGTCTCTGCCTCTGCTCTGCTATATGTCCGTCCGCCTCCTCTGTCCCCTCCGCCTCCCACTCGCTCTCTTCGTCCATCTTCGACGCATTGTTATTCCCTCCTTACTCGCTGTCAATAGCCTGGAAATGTAAACAAATACAAAAGCTATCAGAAGCGACATTTTTCCCATCTAACGTGAGTGCGCACCAAAGTATGCAATAAAAATATGATTAGAAGTGCAAAGAGGAAGAACTGCAATTGTATCTACGATGATTTGGCCTTCTTGTGCATGTGTGTGTGCTGACAAAAGCATATAACAGTCTTTTCTCTCTTGCATACAGGCCATCAAATCGTATACGCCAATAAAAGTGAGTGAAGTTAAAAACTTTCGAAATATTTTTATGAATTTATATTTCATTAAAGCTTTTAACACCTTTAACTAAACATTTAAAAAAAAAAAAATCTGTGTAGCTAAGGAAATTTATTTTCAAATTGTTTGCAAAATTTGATGTTGCATTTATTGCTATTAGAATAATATACATATATATATACATATTCTGAAATATTATTTCATACTCAAAATATTTATACAGATTTTAAAATATATGAAAATTATAAAACTCAACTTAAAACATAACAAATATTGAAATCAAAATCTCTTGAGTTGTTTTAGTTATTTAGATTTTAAATTTATAAACAACTATTTTGAAAAAATTTTTGTTTACATTGAAATTTTAATAAAATTTAATTTTTAAACTTTTGTTTAACAAGTTTATTATTTATGCATATGAATTTTAATTTTCCGTAAAATTCTAAAGATGTTTTAATTATTTAATATTAAATTTATTTACTAACAAAGAGGGGTGAGATCATTTTATTACTTAGATTAATAATAATTATTTTAATATGCACTAAGCCCACAACTAATTCTTTTTAATATATATATTTTTTCATACATTTACATATTTTTACAACTTATTGGATTACAGATTAATATCCATTTATATTAAAAGTTCTCATATGGCAATGCGAAAGTTATTCCGAGCCGCACCCCTATCAGACTCTCTCTCTCCCCTCTCACTCTCATTTCAGTTTGTATAGCATAGATAAGGCATAACGATATCAATAGCCAATATTGATATCATGACAGGCCCAACTAATACCATATTGATTGCTTATCAATAATATAACCCCTTCGTCCTCCATATCACCTTCAGAGCAATCCCAAAGCATTTGCACCACATAACTCGGCATCAGGCGTCCGCTCTGTTGAAGTATAAAAGGGTTTTATGACCTGTTGGACAAAGCGTAAAATAAAATAAAAAAAGGGCAAACGATAAACAATTTATATATATTTTATATATACACGTTTTTTATTTTTTGTTTTTTTTTTTTTTGTGATTGGGGAGAAAGAAATCCCGAACAAACATTAATTTGTAACGCACGTTTGGCCAATTTTGGATTTACAATTTGCTTTCTTTTGACCATGCTAAACCAACAAAATATACCCCAATGACCGCATAACGAGCCGAAATCAATTTGCCACGTTGATAAGGTTAGGCCCAAACCACACCAATCCTAACCGAATCAGGCCGAACAACCCTTTCGGGCCAAAAATGGGGTAGACCTGTCATAGCCGGGATTTATAGATATTAAATTAGACAAGATTTTAACGCGCACGTAACTTTGACATACATCAAATCCCGGTAACCCCGAACGACTTAACTTTGAGTAATAACCATTCCCCACCAAAAATAAAAAATAAATAAAATAATAAAAAAATCCAACAGTAACAAAAATGCAAATTGCATGCCAAATGTTGAGATTTTCTGTTTGTCTTTCATTTCATTTTGTTCTGCTGACCATTCAAATATTGTCGAATGCTTGAATGCTTGAATGCTGCACACATGTGACCCATCATCTCCTTTAGCCTGCTGTGGTGTGCCCCAATTTCACGTTGAAATCTCATTATAATAATACACCATAATAATAATAATAATAATAATACTAAGACACAACAGCTTTGCATGAGGTGCAAAACGAACTTTGTGCGCTTTGGTCAGCGAGAGGTCGAATCGCTGAAAGTCAAGTAGCAGGTGGGTTTTATTTTTTCAACTACTTAAAGCTAATGCATATTTTATAAATAATTGGCCAAGCCACATCTTTGCTTTTTCATTTAAAAAGGGGTAAAATTTGTTTGGGGCTTAGATCAATGCAAATAAGACTTTGGATAATTGTGATAAGACTTAACGTGGTTCATATAAGGTTTCGTTGTATTCTACTAGTTATACAAAAAATAAATAAAAATAAATAAAATCAAAATAAAATAATAATAATAATAATAAAAATAATAATAATAAAATCCAGATTGCACGACTACAACATCACTAAACACGCTCTCTTTTTTATTCATATATACATATATAGGCATACGGAATACATATTCATACACACACATTCTTTCATATATCAAGGTATTATTACGTAGTTGAGTTATTGAAGAACTTTTGTTTATAATAGGTATAACAACAATAATCGTCTGCATCGATGAACTCGGCTCTACTATATAATTTATCTAAAGGCATGTATTAAATATTCCTGTATACCTAACGAGATACTATACAGTAGAATTTTAGAGTCCAAGCATAAATATCAAATTAGACTGCCTCTTTTTAAGCAAATAGAATGCAACATGAATAGTCCTTGACCCCCAATATTAAGGTTATAATAAGATAAAATTGCTTCATGTGCATCTTCAAGTCAATTATTCTTGATTATATAATATATATACATATTTTTCGCATCGTTAACTTAAGCACCGTATTTTTTGGCATTCGCATGTCTCTCTCTTATTACATATCTCTTAATTATATTTTCTTATAAGAAGGCAACTCTATAATTATTCCGTATTCCTCCGATTCTATAAAAATGACTGCTGTTTATTGTTCATACAGCTTTTTTGTTTAACAATTGTCTTCTAAGGAAAAAGGTCATAAATACCAGAAAAGAGTTCTTTATAATCGTCTCCTCTTTGGCAGCTGCTGCAGCAAGTCCCACTGTTCGCTCACAGTTTAATGAACTATGCGGCAAAGCGAAGCTAACCTGGCCGTCAGCATTAGCCATGGCTATTTACCTTTGAGTTGATTTTAGTGCCAACATGTGAAAAGAGAGGCTCACAAATTATTTATTAATTACCCGCTTCTTAGTTTTCCCCCTCTTTTCTTCTCGCTGGCTGAGTGAGTTTAATCAACTTTGGACCACTTTTGTATTCGAAATGCTCTCGCATTGCCATGGAGAATATGTTCAGAGACACATTCCCTGCTTATCGCTGTTGTCATTTCTTCGATTTCGTCTTCTCAGTTTCTTTTTTGCGTAATAAAACAATAAATCAATCACGGTTTGGGTTTATTTAAAGGCCGTCTCGTTTGTGCCTTGTTTCGTTATCTATTTCAACTTTTTAGTAGTTTGTTAGATTTTTTATGGTAACCCTGCTCGTAGTTGTGGGCATTTATGAGTGTACGTTATATTCTAAAGGAGAGAAAAAAGTTTCGTAATTTTCCTCTTCTTTTTTCTGTTCCAGATCTGTTAAGTGCGATAATCTGTTATGACATTGTTGTATGCATAAATCTATATCGAATTGTAAAGAAGATCAAAGTTAGAGATGCTGGGCAAATAAAACAGGCTATATACATACCTACATACACATACGAATACACACTCAGATGTACATTGAAGCACAAATAAATGAATAATAAAGTCTATCAAATACAGAGCGAATAGCAACAGCTGTGGTGAGAAATCTTTTCATCTACTCACAGTTTCGCTTGACTTACCGAAATGATTTTGAGTGGAACCTTGAGCGCAATGAACGAGTCTCTCTCGCTGCTCACACACGCAGTGCGGCGAACAATGGCGGCTTCAGCTCTTTCTCGCTCTCACTCACACTCTCGTGCTCGTGAGCTCAAAACATTCACTGTGCTTGGTGGGTAGGTGTGGCCTATGCCTCGCTTCCCGATTCCATTGCGTTCCGCTCGTGCTGGTGTTGTTGTTGCGCTCTTGTGTGTGAGTAAATTAAAATTGTGTAGTTTATTATTAAATGAAGCGCATTTTTGTATTTGTATGTGTATCTTTGCTATGCGTAGTGTACGTGCATGGCTATATACGTATGTATGTGTATATATGCATATGCATATGGGAATTGTAAATCGTTTCCATTGGAGCAGTCACATAATAATATTGAAATGTTAATTAGCGTATTAATTAAGTTATTTTTTTATTTGTTTGCATTTATGTACCGGTAAATGCGCGAGCAGACAATTAATCTTAAATAAATTAAAGGCTAAACTAAGCGTGAATGTGCAAATCCGCAATTTTAATACTAATATACATATATGTATGTTTCCTATATATATGTATATAAACTGTCATATTATTTATTTATTTCTTTAATGTGAACTCTATTTAATTTTAATTTTAATATTTTTTATTTTCCCTTATTTGAGTTCAGCATTTAATTTATATTTATTACATTTTATTATGGCGATGCACGAAATTTAATTATTTTAATGAATAAAGTCGGAGCATGACAATGCAAAAAAAAAAAAAAACCTTTGCTCAATCCCTGCCAGCTACAGCTTCATTTAATATTTATAGCTTTTTAAACAAATAAACAGCATTCACAGTCGGGCCGCGCCTCAAACAGAGGCGGAAGCAGCAGCAACACCCACCAACAGCAGCACCAACAGCAACAACAGTGCAAATGCACTCAACCACACACATACATGGGTAACTCTCTGGCATGTACCACACACACACACACGCACGCACACAGCCCGTGCTGAAACACAACCAGTCCAGTTCCAGCTCCAATCCAATCCGAAATAGTTGATTTTAATGATGTACATAATAAAATTCCCATTCGTTTTGTGCCAATGCCAATGCGTTCCAGCTTCACTGCATGTTTACACTGATTGTGGAACGCACAAGCAGACACACACACTCAAACAAGCACACACTCACACAACTGCTCGCACACTGATTTTCAAAGGAGAGAACAATACGACTGCTTGTTTGGTATCTGTGTCTTGCTCTCTCGTGCGGGATGCTGCCTTCGAATGAGTGGAAAAGAGCAACCAACGGGCCGCAACAGGGTTGCTCAGACAATTGCGACTGCTGCTGCCGCCGAGATTGCCCAGCGCTGCGTGCGGGTCACCATGTGAAGTGAAGTTGTTCGAGTCAATTTCGAAATCATTCGTTAGTCTTAGGCCTAAACAAGCGGACACGCGCGCGCGGCTCTCTCGATTTAAGCCCAATATCGTACATGACCACGCAAAGTTGACAGAAATTGCGGAAACTCGTGTTCGCAAATGGAGCCAAGGCAGGCCACCGAGTGCTAAGAGTTTTCCAGTGAACTGAACCCCTTGAAAGAAAAGTTTGAACAGAAAAATTTAATTAAAGCTTGTTTACCTTGTGTGATCGTTTCGACCAAACTGTTCGTGAAGAGAGCACAGTCAGCCAAATAGAGGTCGCTTAGCCGAACTTATTCTGAGTGTGACGCGTTTTGCATACAATACAACAAGCTGGGTAGTCCATTCCTGCACGCTACGCCCGCGGGTGGCAGTTGCAGCAGCAACAACCCATCGCCCACGCCGGCATCGGCAGCCAAGCAACTAGCCCAAACCTTCCAGCTATCGGCCAATTCGGCCTTCAATCTAGCCCTGCCGCCCAGCTTCTATCATCGCCTGCCCACAGACGTGCCCGCTCCGAATCCGGTTAACGCAGCGGAGTGCGTGCCCTCGCTCGACTACGTACACTCCTCGCCCAGCACCGATCCCGACATGGATCTGATAAATCCCTACATGCGCCATCACAGCTTCGCCGCTGCCTCCCAGAGCAGTCCGCCGTCGGCGGCGCAGCGCCATCACCTGGCCGCAGCGGCTGCCGCGGGACTGAGCAATGGATTCGCCGACGTTCATGCACATGCGATGGCCGCTGCGGACTACCAGCAGCAGCTGGCCGACTACCACAGTGCGGCGGCCGCTGCGGCTGCCTATGCCAGCAACAACAACAACAATAACAACAACAGCCCGCTGATGCTGCTGAAGGCGGCGCACGGCGGCGGAGTCGGTGCACGGCTAACGGAGGCCAAGTCTTCAGCTGAGGACTCGCCCTCGACAACGCCGCCGCCAGCCTCGTCGCGTCTGCACTCGGAGTCGTCGCCCTCGCCGCGGTACGAGCACAACTCCAGTCCCGGCGTCGACAGCGCCAAGTCCTTTGCATTGAGCCAGCGCAGCAGCGGCGGCGAAGAGCATTGCCAGAACAGCGGGTCCAGTCCGCCGCCATCTGATTACAGTCCGGAGAACTTGACCAGTCGCAAGTATCAGCATCCAAGCAGTGGCCTCAATCCGCTCAGCCTGCACAACAACAACAACAACAACAGTGGCAGCCATCCCAACAACAACAACCACAGCAACAACAACAACAACAACATGGAGCACAAGCTGCCATTGAGTTTTTTGGGTCCGCCGCTGGCGGCGCTGCATTCCATGACCACAGAAATGAAGACTGCACAAGGCGTCGGCTCTGGCGCCGGCAGCGGCATCGGCTCCGCTGGCAATGGCCTGGTCTATGGACACAGTCCCAACTCGCATCTGATCAGTGAG